TTGATAATTTTTCTTTCCATTTATTTTTATTAGTTGGAGGCTAATTACTTTACATTGATAATTATTTTAAACTCACACATCCCTGTGAGATAAAATAGGTATTACCTTTCAGCCAGTAAAACATAGAGCAAAATAAATAATAAAGAAACTTGATTTGAACATAATTAAATATAGTTGCAGACATCTAATAGTCACAGATGAATTCTTAATTTAGATGAGCTGTTTTTTTTTTTTTTTTTCTTAATTTCCCAGGGCCCTATGTTTATTTTAGAAGTTGACTCAATTTCTTATGACATGATGTGAAGGTGTAGAGCTAAATCATGTTTCCATTTCATAACTTAAATGATGAAGCTCAGAGGCCTAAGTTATGAGGCAATGTCTCCAGGAATCGTTCCTGGACAGGAATAAACATGAGCTGGAATGATGGTTACCACCCTTCAGCCTAGTGATGAGCCAGGCTACCTACATCAGAATCACCTGGGCAGATTCTTAGGCATACAGATACGCAAATCCTCCCTGTCCTCTGGATTCAGATTCAGTTGATTTAGGTAGGGTCCTGGGAAGGTATATGTTTTAAACCACCTTGTGTGTGCTCAGTCACTTCAGTTGTGTCCAATTCTTTGTGACCCTATGGACTATAATTCACCAGGCTACTCTGTCCATGGGATTCTCCAGGCAAGCATACTGGAGTGGGGTGCCATTCTCTTCTCCAGGGGATCTTCCCTACCCAGGGATCGAACCCGTAACTCCTGCATCTCCTGCATTGCAGGTGGATTCTTTACCTGCTGAGCCACCAGGGAAGTCCCGCTTAAACCACCTTAGGTAATTCACAATTATTACAAACTAGGTTTATAGTTAAGAGGTCCTACAGAGTGAAAAAGTTGGCTTAAAGCTCAACATTCAGAAAACTAAGATCATGGCATCTGGTCCCATCACTTAGTGGGAAACAGATGGGAAAACAGTGGAAACAGTGTCAGACTTTATTTTGGGGGGCTCCAAAATCACTGCAGATGGTGATTGCAGCCTTGAAATTAAAAGACGCTTACTCCTTGGAAGGAAAGTTATGACCAACCTAAACAGCATATTTAAAAGCAGAGACATTACTTTGCCAACAAAGGTCCGTCTAGTCAAGGCTATGGTTTTTCCAGTAGTCTTATGTGGATGTGAGAGTTGGACGGTGAAGAAAGCTGAGCACCGAAGAATTGGTGCTTTTGAACTGTGCTGTTGGAGAAGATTCTTGAGAGTCCCTTGGACTGCAAAGAGATCCAACCAGTCCATCCTAAAGGAGATCAGTCCTGGGTGTTCATTGGAAGGACTGATGCTGAAGCTGAAACTCCAATACTTTGGCCACCTCATGTGAAGAGTTGACTCATTGGAAAAGACCCTGATGCTGGGAGGGATTGGGGGCAGGAGGAGAAGGGGACGACAGAGGATGAGATGGCTGGATGGCATCACCAACTTGATGGACATGAGTTTGAGTAAACTCCGGGAGTTGGTGATGGACAGGGAGGCCTGGCGTGCTGTGATTCATGGGGTCACAAAGAGTCGGACGCGACTGAGCGACTGAACTGAACTGAACTGACAGAAGTGTAAGTGCCAACACTGAGGCAAAGGAACATTTCTATACCTTTGATTATGCCTTCATTCTGAAAGAGGCTCTTTTGGAAGAAAGAATCCACATCACATTCCCAGAAGAATGACCAGATTGGAAGTGTGACCGGTGAGTTTCACACTGAGGAAGAAAAGCTTTGAGCAGAAACCCAATTGATTTTCTAATTGCTCTGATCTATGGAAACCAAGATCTGAAAGATTCTAAACAGTTTTATTGAGTTATGATTTTCACATTTTAAGATTCACTCATTGTTAACTCAGTGATTTTTTTAAATAAATGTACAGAGTTTTGCAACCATTGTGTCACAATCCAACCTATAGTACACTTAGGAGATGAGGTCAGTAGGTCATTTGGGAAGCTTAGATATGGATAGTCTAGAAGCATTGTCTTTCTTTGTCCCACAATTATTTAATAAATTATTTGTTAAATATTCTTTTTTGAATATAAAAGACATACATATGGGGACTTCCTTGGTGGTGGTTAAGAATCCACTTACCAATATAGGGGACACGGCTTCAATCCCTGGTCCAGGAAGATTCCATATGCCGCAGGGCAGCTAACCCTGTGCACCCCAACTACTGAAGTCCTTGTGTCCTAAAGCCCATGTTCTGCAACAAGAGAAGTCACCACAGTGAGGAGCCCACACACAGCAACAAAGACCCAGCGCAGCCAAAAATAAATAAACTAAAAAAAAAAAAGTACATATACTGCAAAGTTCAAAGGCATAAATGGCCATACAAGAAGTTTCCTTCCTACTCTGTCACCCAGCCATCTGGTTTCTGTTCCTAATAAATTAGTTATTGAGGTGGATCACTAACCTGAAATAAAAACCTTTAGGCAAGTTAAGTCTTTAATTTAAGGGACAGTGGAGAATCCAATATTATCTTGGAGGTTGGGCACGATAACTGTCATCCTGGTGATATATCAGAAGCTCATCAATGGATGTAGTTTCTAAAGGATGGTGTAGAGAGAACAAAGAATATAACTTTGGACACACTGATAGATAGGCACATTAATAGTTATGAGGGGGAATTTCCTGGCAATCCAGTAGTTAGCACTTGGTGTGCTCACTGCCAGGACCCCAGGTTTGATCCCTGAGCAGGGAACTAAGATCCCACAAGCCACGTGGTGTGAAATAAATAAAGCGGGAAGAACAGAAAGTAAAGGAGAGAAAAATAGAAGTTGAGAGAGAAATAAATTGGTATTATGAAAAGAGAGGCATTTAAAAAAAAGAGAGAGAGGCATTTTAAGAATGTGCTATTCAGTGGTCCCATATGCTAAAGAGGTCATGTGAGTGAAAGTCGCTCAATCCTGTCTGACTGAAATTCTCCAGGGCAGAATACTGGTGTGGATAGCCTTTCCCTTCTCCAGGGGAGCTTCCCAACCCAGGGACTGAACTCAGGTCTCCCACATTGCAGGTGGATGCTTTACCAGCTGAGCCACAAGGGAAGCCCAAGAGGTCATGGAGAATGGGAAATGAGAAAGGGCTTTTCGAACAGAGGTTTATAATAAACTGAGTGCAAAGTTTCAGTAGAGATAGAGAAAGGATGGGATTCACATTGTAGAGGATTAGGAAAACAATAGGATTTTCCTAATATACAAAGAGCTCTTAAAAGCCAATAAGAAAAAAATGATCAACCCAGTTAAAAATACTATGCAAAGAACATATACAGGCAAGAAACTGAAAATGAAATGCTTTTGGGCAGTAAAGAAATGAAAACAATGGTATTGGAGCAACTGGACATCCACATACACATGTACATGCAAAAAATTGAATTTAGACCCAGGCTGTATACATGTCACAAAAATTAACTCACAATGGATGACAGTCCTAAATGTGAATTGTAAAACTATAAAACTCCTAGAAGATAACAGGAGAAAATCTAGATGATCTTGGGTGTGATGAGGCCTTTTTTAGATGAATTGATAAGCTGAACGTCAGTAAAGTTAAAAATTCTTTTTCTGTGAAAGACAGTGTCAAGAGAGTAAAATGACAACACAAACTAGGAGAAGATATTACTCGGTAAAAACACATATGATAAAGGACTGTTATCCAAAATACACAAAGAACCCTTGGAACTCAACAATAAGAAAACAACTGAAAAATGGGTCAAAAATCTTAAGAGACACCTTATCTAAGAAAATATACAGATGCCAATTAAGCATATGAAATGATACTCCACATTATATGTCACCAGGGAAATGAAAATTAAAGCAAAGAGATACCACCAAACAACAACACAACAAAAAACAAGGCAATAATACTACATACCTACTGGAATGGCCAAAAACAGAACAAAAGACAAATGCTGGTGAGAATGTGGAGCAATGGGAACTCTCATACAATCCTGGTGGAAGTGCAAAATGGCACAACCACTTTGGAAGACTGGTGGTTTCTTATAAAACTAAACACACTCTTAATGTATGATCCAGAAATTGCACTCCTTGGTATCTATGCAAGGTAGATGAAAACTTATGCCCACACAAAACCCTGTATACAGATGTGTATAGGAGCTTTATTCATAATTGCCAGAACTTGAAAGAAGCAACCAAGATGTCTTTCAATAGGTACATGGATAAACAAACTATGGTTCGTCCAGACAATAGAATATTATCTAGCACTAAAAAGGAATGTTCTATCAAGCCATAAAAAGACATGGAGGAAACTTAAAGGTGTATTACTAAGAGAAAGAAGCTATTCTGAAAAGATTGCATACTGTATGATTCCAACTCTATGACATTTTGGAAAAGGCAAAACTATGGAGACAAGATTAGTGGTTGCCAGGAATGGGTAGGCAGAGCACAGAGTTCTTTTAGGGCAGTAAAAACATTCTGTATGCCATTACACACTTGTCCAAACCCACAGAGTGTACACCACCAAGAACCTTAAGGTTCTATAGGCTTGTGTGATTATGATGGATTCATAGTTGATACAGCATATACCACTCTGGTGATTTGATAATAGGGAAGCTGTGCAAATGTGGGATTGGGGGTATGTGGGCAATCTCTGTACCTTCTCAATTTTGTTGTAAAACTATTCTAAAAAGTTTTGATAGAAGAATGTTTAAGTTCACTACTAATTAAGTATATGCGCATCAAAACAGTAAGATATCTGTTTTTCCCTTAATATATCACAAAGTTGAAAAGATCAGTAATACCCAATGTTGGTAAGGATGGTGGGAAGCAGGAACCCTAACATACTCTTGGTGGTATTATCATTTGATAATACCTTCTTCAATACCTTCTTTTTGAAGGGCAACTTGGCAATATCTACTCAAAATGTTCTTAGTCTTTGACTTAGCAATTCCATTTTTAAGAATGCTGCTGCTGCTGCTGCTAAGTCGCTTCAGTCGTGTCCGACTCTGTGCGAACCCGTGGACGGCAGTCCACCAGTCTCCTCTGTCCACGGGACTCTCCAGGCAAGAATACTGGAGTGGGTTGCCATTTCCTTCTCCTTTTAAGAATGAGTGAAATCATTTTCACAAGTAGGCAAGCATGTATGTAGCAGAATGTTCATTACAGCTTTATCTAAAATAAGTAATGTTGGAAGTAATCTGAAAGTTCCCTGGTAAGTTATTAATCAAACATGGCATATTTGGATAATGGAATACTCTACAATGGTTGAAAAATTAAAGTAATGCTATGTGTGCTGCTGTGGGGGAAAAAGTAAAAAGAGTAAACTGAAAAAGATTCTGTGGTATAAGCTTGCTTTTATTTTAAACTATATGTATTAATATATACACAGGAAAATACATATGGAGAAATATACATCAAAGTCTTTTTTAATTATTTTGGTGAAGATAAGAGGTTTTCAGTTTCTATAGCAATTAATTCACAATATTCATAGGATAGTTGTATTAAATGATTTAATATGTCATAAGGAATTAAAACAGTGGGATATAGCACATACAAGCTATTATAGTTACTCTACACTATTATTTTTTAAATAGTTTATTACAATAAGTACATATTATTTCTTTAAGCAGAAAAAAGAGATAATAAAAATAATGTGGTATAAACACGGGCAACATTTGACCATTTTTATTTTGGCATCATGGCTGCAACATGATGGGAATCTTAATTCCCCTGACCAGGATTGGAACACACGTCCCCTGCATTGGAAGGGCAGTTTTAACCCCTGGTCTGGCAGAGAAGCCCCCTTGGGCATTTTAAATATGAATGAAAATGGACTTTCCTGGCAATCCAGTGGTTAAGACTTCAACTTCCACTGCAAAGGCAGTGGGGAATGCAGCTGGGCAAAAAACAACAAAAAAACCATGAATGAAAGGTTAAAAACAAATAGGAGCTTAAGGATGCCAATAGGTCCTTTATGCAGATTTGAAAGGAGCTAGTTGAAAGCTAAAGGTCAATGATACTAAGACACAGACAGGAGAAAATGGGAAACTGCAATAGTAGTATCAACTGATATTTAATGTTTACTGTGGGCCAGGTATTCAGTGCTTTGGAATTTACAAAGTGAAGAGATTAATCTGGATAGGAGGAGGAACATTCTTTCTTTGAGATGAGAACAAAGATTCTCAACCTCAACTCCCTGAAATTATATGCTAAATTTGGTGGGCAAATGCTTTCTTAAAATATCTAAAACAAGGTCCGGATTTCTAAGCGTGTTGGAGCCCTCTCTTTCAAAGATGAAAGAGCATCAAGGAACAAAGAAAGTTTGATTTTAAAAATTTTGAGGTGAAGAGATGAAAAATGAGAAGACTTTTGCCAGTCTCCTATCACTTTAAACAGGACTACAGATGCCCTTTAAGGATAGTGAAATTTGGTGATTATGACATTCCCAAGTACTGACTGATTCACCCTCCTCCCTCCACAATACGTGTCTAAGAGCCGAGTTCATTTCTTTCCTTTGGGCTCTCTTCAATCTAAATTTTTTCCAAACATCTTTTCAAGGAAATCTGTGATAAACCTTACTGTTTCGTATCCTAATTTAGTTCTTACCAACTTTCGGTGAATAGCTTAATGCCTCTGATTCAGTATTTTTCCATTTGACAACTACTGCTGAAAGAAATTTCAATTTCTTATGAGGATCAAAAGAGATAACATCTGTGAAAACCTCTTAGGAAGTTTTGGCCAACATCAGAACTATCCACTTACGAAGCGTTAACTATTAATTTTCAGTTTCAATGTAACAGTAATTTAAAGAAGGTTTTCTGAATAGGTGTCCTGCACAGTCTCACCCCCAAATACTGAAAGCGGGTGGGCGCTCCTCTCGGATTGTGGCTACGTCTTTCGCTCCTTTTGTCTTTCAGTCGTACTAGAACTGTCATGGCGCCTTCAAGAGGGGCAAGGCCTTCCTTTCGCCCAGCAGAATCATCCGGGGCACCAGGACCGGACCGAGGGGTAGACAGACAGAGAGACGAGCCTCACTGAGACCGAAAATACCGAACCCTCCGAGAGGTCTCAGCCGGACAGGCGCAGCGGGAGGAGACCGGGTTGAAGGCTACCTCTACGAGCGACAGTACACCCGGGGCACCGCCCACCCTGGCCGCCCTGTCCAATGGAAACCCAACGGCAGTGCGGCACCGCCCACTGTTGGTCAGGACGCCGCGAGGGCGGGGCCCGCAGTTCGGTTGCGCCGCGGAGCGCAGCTGTGAGCGAGTCTTTCTGATCCGGGGCCCCGGAACCCGAGCTGGAACTGAAGCGCAGGCTGCGGGGAGCGGAGTCAGGAGGTGAGCGCCTAGGGGAGGGAAGGTTTCAGCGAGAGAACCGACGGATCGGCCTCTAGGGCCCGGATCTGGGACCCCAGCAGACGAGTGTCTATAGGCGGCCCTGCTCACTCGGTGGCCAAGGCCCGGCCCACCGGCGCCGGGGGGCCGCGTCGGCCCCACATTTCCTACCCGGCCTTCCCCGACTGCCCTCGAGTGGCGGCAGGGCGCCCGGAATTCTGCGGGCGCGGGGCGCGAGGCCCCGGTGTTCGTGTCGAACTCGGCCTGCCGAGAGGACTGCGCCCCTGACGGCGCCGCGGGGCCGGCCTCTGGTGAGGTGGCCGCCGCTGGCTGCAGGGCCTGCCTGGGGCACCGACGCTCACTCGCAGTCAGCGGGCTAGGCGACCTGTTGGAGTGTTAAATTCTTCCTCGAGTTTATATCTGTCTGACTGGTCAGTCCTGCAGGTCTCAAGTCCTCTTCGGTCCGCTCAGGATGAGAGCGGGCGAGAGGCCTGTGGCCTGCGAGCTGTTGCCGAGGAGTTGAGATGCTGAGAAGCTGAGATGCTGAGAAGTTGCAGTCCAAAAAATGAAAAACTTTGCAGGAAAAGCTTTGCAATGTTTTACCTGCACAGCTCAGAAGTGAACACTTCTGAGCTGTGCATGTTGTGTGTGCATGCACACAAGATGAGTGTGCATGTTGGGGTGGTTGGAGGCGTTGAGGAGATTCCCTTTTTCCGTCTGTGGTCTCATTTAAATTTCTGAACGACTGGCCCTGAGACAAAAACTACCAGTGTTGCAAAGGTTCTTCATCAGCAGGAGGGGTCCTGGGGATTCTTGGGCATTGCCATCATCTTGCCTACTGGGGAGAGATTGGGGAGGAAGAAGACAAGCACATTCGAAGAGCGCCTATGACTGATGAAAGTTTGGCATCTCGTGCCATACTGTGGATTAACTCTCTGTGCCTTCGGTCCAGAAGTTTCTTTAGAGCTCACTGGCCACAGGCTTCCTGTATTACAATTCCACTGATATTTCTTATAATGTAGCTGGGAACTTTCCTTAGCTGTTCAGATTCAGGATACAGTCTATAAATAAAGTTACTCTAGAAAGTAATCCCTGTGAGCTTTTAGCTACTTTTCAGGGGGAGAAGGAAAATGATCTGTAACTTGAATTTTCTGGTAAATTACTAAAACTGTTGATTGAAATCCATGATAGGCAAGAGAAAAAACAGGTGAAAAAGCATCTTGCTAGATTTTCTCTGTAGTGCTTTGTTGCTCTCTGATATTTACTGGAATGTCATCTAATAAAAATCTCCAAAATGAAAAATTTTTTTTAAAAGACCAAGGAAATCTACTGACTTGAGTTCAACATAGTGTAGGTTGGTGGCAGAGATGGGCAGAAGAGGGCATCTGAGAGTTCTAAAACGAAATGAGGGCTTTTCAAAAGATCCTGATTAGGAGCTTCTGTATTTTGAACTGACTTACAGGAGCAAATCTACAGTATATTTTCATCCTGGGGAGCATCCGCTTGAGCCTAGCACACACAGGTTCCAACTTCTTTACAGCCTTCATTCTTAAGAGATATGGAATAACATTCAGCGGTTGTCCTATGACTCTCTGAAGTTCATGATATTTAGCTTTTAAGAATTTTTTCCAAGAAGCCATGTTCATGTATACTACTATACACTATTTAGTATAATATAGTACTTTTCCTGTAATGGCTTTGTCTTGAATTACTTGTGTTTAGAAGGGATACCTGTGTCAGATCCAGTGCCTCAGAGGATGGAACCTTTGAGCCATGTGAATGAAATGAAAACTGGAAGATTAAAATCTTAGCTGTGCCTTAAATTTAGGCTTTGAGTATTGGCATCTTATTTATATTGTTCACTATGGTATCTCAAGCACCTTACTCAGTGCTTGGCCCATAATAGGTGCTTAATAAACATTTGTTGAATGAGTGAATAGAAAAAAAATGTTGCTAACCAGTACCCACCCATTTACCACACTCACATCACAGGGAAGGTGAGGTCATCAGGAATGAAGTCACTAACCACTGCCAGTTACCTGGCCCAAGGGTAGCCTCGTCATGGACTGGCAGGCTTATTCTGTGCATAGGAGGGATGGAGAGTGGGTGCCAGGGTTAGTCCAAATGGAATAAATCATCTTAGGGTTTCAGTTGGACAAATTGGTTGAGAATACTACAGCTCTAACTCTCGAGCTGGTTCATTGGAACATTTGGGGATCTGGAGTCATCTGCCCTGCATAGTGCCCATGTAGCTTGGTTCTTGAGCATAGTACAAGAGGTAGATGAGAATTCAAAGGAAGGGCTATTGGGTAGGTATTTGCTGAGAAGGAATGAGGCCCCTGATTTTGCTGTTCTATTTGGACCTTACTAAACATGAGTTGTACAACCATAAATCTTTTGTTTGCCACTCTTGGGTGAATCATCTTTCTACGTGACAAAATATGTTTATTAACATGTTTATGCGTAGCAGCATATTCTTTAAGCTTGATGTATACTTCAGTTGGTCACTGACCTGGGTGAGTCCATCTTCAGCTGAGATAGCTACCCTTCTCCAGACTAGGAGAGTAGTTAATGTCTAGGGTTCATACAGGACTAATTCTGATTTTGGACTTGAAGGAAACAAGGGAGGTGTATGTTTTATTTACTTTTAAACCCCAGATTACGTTGTTAGGATGGAATCTTTATAGAATCTATTCTAACCCTCTCCACCTTCTCCCTTCATCCTTGCTCCAACCAATGCAGGCCTGAGTGTTTGTTCCAGCATGTCGGAAGGCGAGCCCCAGACAGTACTCAGCAGTGGTTCGGACCCAAAGGTAGAATCCTCATCCTCAGCTCCTGGCTTGACGTCAGTGTCACCTCCTGTGACCTCCACAACCTCTGCTGCTTCCCCAGAGGAAGAAGAAGAAAGTGAAGATGAGTCTGAGATCTTGGAAGAGTCACCCTGTGGGCGCTGGCAGAAGAGGCGAGAAGAGGTAAGGCAGTGGGAGTGTTTAGTGGGAGTGTTGTTTCCCTGGTAGCTCAGCTGGTAAAGAATCCGCCTACAAGGCAGGAAACCCCAGTTCGATTCCTGGGTCAGGAAGATCCCCTGGAGAAGGGATAGGCTACCCATTCCAGTATTCTTGGGCTTCCCTGCTGGCTCAGATGGTAAAGAATCCACCTGCAATGTGGGAGACCTGGGTTTGCTTCCTGGGTTGGGAAGATCCCCTGGAGGAGGGCATGGCAACTGACTCCAGTATTCTTTCCTGGAGAATCCCCATGGACAGAGGAGCCTGACGGGCTACAGTCCATGGGGTCGCAAAGAATGGGACACGACTGAGCAACTAAGCACAGCACAGTGGGAGTGTGACTTCACAGTGAATTTTAAGAGGTGAGAAGTGGAGGGACAGAGTCTCAAAGGGGCAGACCAAACTTGAACAGGTCAGAAGGTCAGAAGCAGGGAGAAGATGACTGTATGGAACATTACAATAGATAGTTCATGTGGTAATTTTAATTCCCTTTCATTTGAATTTCTTCTCAGGTGAATCAGCGGAATGTACCAGGTATTGACAGCGCATACCTGGCCATGGATACAGAGGAAGGTGTAGAGGTTGTGTGGAATGAGGTACAGTTCTCAGAGCGCAAGAACTACAAGCTGCAGGAGGTAGGTAATGGTGAAAGGATGCAGCCTGTGGGTTGTTAGAATGCTGGTGTTAAAGAGGAATTGATGTTGGGAAGCTACTAGGAGAAGAGTATGTTGGGGTTAGATCATTTCTAGTGGGGATAGGAAATGGCTTTTTAGGATGACAATGCTTTCTGAACATTGTAATCCCAACATCTCCCCTGCTTCCAGGAAAAGGTCCGTGCTGTGTTTGATAATCTGATTCAGTTGGAACATCTCAACATTGTCAAGTTTCATAAGTATTGGGCTGACATTAAAGAGAACAAGGCCAGGGTAAGAACTTTTTCCTGAGCTTACTGGAAACAGACTAGCTACATTTATTGTTGTTTTTACATTCAGAAAAAGGTAATATTGAAACAGAGCTGGAATCAGCTGGTCTTGAGATGTTGTGGTTTGGTCACTAAGTCGTGTCTGACTCTTTGTGACCTCATGAACTGCAGCACACCAGGCTTCCCTGTCCTTCTCTATCTCCACATTTTCTCAGACTCATGTCCATTGAGTCAGTGATGCCATCCAACCGTCTCATCCTCTGTCACCTCCTTTTCTTGGCATCAGTCTTTCCCAGCATCAGGGTCTTTTCCAGTAAGTCAGCTCTTCGCATCAGGTGGCCGAAGTATTGGAGCTTCAGCTTCAGCACCAGTCCTTCCAGTGAATATTCAGGGTTGATTTCCTTTAGGATTGACTGGTTTCATCTCCTTGCAGTCCAAGGGTATGCCTATGACTATTACCTGTGCCTTTTGTCTGGTTATAGTTGGGGCAAAAATGAGTGAGTTTTTGTTTCTTCCTTGCCATAGCTCATATTGCTCAGTAATTTTCATTGCCCTATTAAATCTAAGGAAGTAATACTAAGAGCAAAAGAGAGAAACTTTATTAAAAATACAAGGCTTCCATGCAGACACAGAGAACAGGCTTGGGGACACAGCAGGGGAAGGAGAGGGTAGGACGAATTGAGAGAGTAGCATGGAAACATACACATTACCATATATAAAATAGATAGCCAGTGGGAATTTGCTGTATGACACGGGGAGCCCAACCTGGTGCTCTGTGCAACCTAGAGGGGTGGGACTGGGTGGGAGATGGAAAAAAGAAAAACACCAGGCTTCCAAATTTTATGGGTATGTCATATAAAAGTTACCCAGATAAGGGGTAATTTCTGTTGTAAGGCTTTATTTGTGTGTTCTGCCTCTCCAGGTCATTTTTATCACAGAATACATGTCATCTGGGAGTCTTAAGCAATTTCTGAAGAAGACTAAAAAAAACCACAAGACTATGAATGAAAAGGTACAGAGAGAGCAGACAAAGCTTTAGGCTGGTTTGGAAGTTTAAAAAAAGATTATGAATCTGATCAGGAAAGGGATGGAGGGAACTGTGGAGGCTGAAGAGAGTGGATAACTGCTGACCCTTGGATCAAACTCTGTTCCAGGCTTGGAAGCGTTGGTGCACACAAATCCTCTCTGCCCTAAGGTAAGCAAGATTTGGTAGTGTCTTTCCCATATTTATTCCTGATTAGTTTCTCCAAACAAATTTCAGAGCACTACTCTGCCGTTCTTTTCTGCCCCACTTTTCTTCCCCACTTTCTTTGAACCATGTTCTCAAGATTAGGCCCCTATGGGTCTTTTAAAATGGTCATCCCAATGCCTTGACCATGATACTGTCTCCCACCTCTTTCTCCTAGTTCCTATCCAGCTATTTAACTCATCAGGCATAACGGAGATTCAGAGTGTGGGTATTACCTTTTTGATGACCAGGAGACCAGGCCCTTGCTCTTCTTAACCCTTGGGTTCCCCCTGCCCTAATTTCCCACTGGCCCCTCTAACAGCCCAGTGCCCCCACAGCTACCTGCACTCGTGTGACCCCCCCATCATCCATGGGAACCTGACCTGTGACACCATCTTCATCCAGCACAACGGACTCATCAAGATTGGCTCTGGTGAGGGGAGGGAGAGGTTCTGGGCAGGGGAGCCTCGGGAATTTGGGAACCATGGGGGTAAGATGAAAGGAATGGGAAAAAAGAGGAAAATTCTGAGGTGTGGGCTGGTGATAAGAGAAAGGACCTTACTAGGGGCAATTTATAGAGAGGCCAGTCAAGTAGTGGAAAAAGGGGTAGGGCCTAATCTTGAACCTTTCTGTAGGGAATTGGGGGTTAATACAGAGATCTCAGTAGAAGGTTGGGAAAGGGCAAGAGTTGGGTGTAAGGTCTGACTTGAGCCCCTGGGGCTAGACCTACCAACGGAGGTTCCAGGCTGTGCCTGCTGTGAGTGCTTTCATTTGCTGTGTACACGTGTGCAGTGTTTAACATTTCTGTGTGCTGTGTCTGTGTGTTGTTGTGTGTCCATTTGTCTGGGGCTTGGCTGCTCCATCGCTCACAACTTTTCTCTGTTTTCCTCCCTCCCGCTTACGGGCTGCTCTGTTCCCAACAGTCTTTCATAGGATTTTTGCTAATGGTGAGAGCCCCCTCTGCCCTATGTGGGGCGCTGTTTGTGCTTCCTCTGCTCCCCTTTGCGGCTGCCCAGTGCATGCAGTCGTGGGAGCAAACCCTGTTGCCCTGCCTTATTATGCCTGCTTGGCTTCTGCCCTACCAACCCTTCGCCTGCTTGCCCTTCCATAACCCGCTTGTTTCCTGTGGATTCTGCCTGGCTGGCCACTTATGTCCTGGATTCTTACTCCCCCCTCATCATCAGGCTGGTTCCTTAAGTCATACTGTGCTCCCAGACCCTCTGTGACTTGTAGTCATTGTTTATGATCTGAGTGAGTCCAAACTGGGCCCGGCCCTGGTTCCTCGTTCAGCCCTGTGGCAGGCAGTGTTGAGGAATGAGAGGGTAGAGCAGGGGAGTGAAGTTTTTGGTGGATTCCAAGTGAAACTGATTTAAGGGTATTGGTTCAATTTTGAGCTCGTTTTAAGTTTCAGTCAGTTAAGGTGGATAAGAAGGAGGCTGTCCTTCTTATGGTTGTATGTTAATCCTTCTTACCCATCTTCATCCAAGTTTCTAAGGTCTCTTAATTGTTCCAGATTGTTCCAGGAAGGGCTGCCAGTGTTTTTATGCTGTATGCAGGGTGGATGAAAGAACTAGAGCAAACATTTTCATGAGATTAGGGGTTAGATGTACCTGGGCTTTGGGGCAGTTAAGCAGGTTACAAGTGAAAGTTTTTCCTTACGCTGTGTTGTACGTTGCCAGCCCAAAGCCCCTAGGTACCTGCTAGTTTAGTGCAGAGCCTTTGCTGCTACTGAGTTAGAGACCTTAGCTAAGAAGTGGTAGCTTGAGAAAGGGGAGGCAGGTGGTGTTCATGTTTAGTCTGGACTTCAGGGCTCAGTTTATGCCTGTTGAGGGTTAGAGACATCAGGAGAGAATTTGTCTTTTGGGGGCCTCTCTCTGGAGCAAAGCTGTGCTTTGTTGACGGTGGTCAGATTGTGGGTATCTCCCCTACTCCCAGTGGCTCCTGACACTATCAACAATCATGTGAAGACTTGTCGGGAAGAGCAAAAGAACCTCCACTTCTTTGCACCAGAATATGGAGGTAAGGCATCCCAGTTTCTCTGCCCTGTGCCCATCCCTGAGGGTCAGCAGTAACATACCTGAAACTGCTGTCCTTCTCTATTGGCATGTGCAAAGTTTTAAGACATCTCTGCCATGCCCTGCCCCAAATCTCTGATTCACCAAAGCTGCTCTGTTTTCCCTAGAAGTCACTAACGTGACAACGGCAGTGGACATCTACTCCTTCGGCATGTGTGCACTGGAGGTGAGGAGACCAGGACGGTGGGTAGTGGAAAGGGGTCACATCAGAAGATAGCAGGGGGGGATGGAGGGTTGACAGGGAGGTGACTGGTCTGGGGGAGTGACTGTGGAAACACTGAGGTTTCTTAGGTCTCCATTTCTCTTTATTCCCCGTCTCTGCAGATGGCAGTGTTGGAGATTCAGGGCAATGGAGAGTCCTCATATGTGCCACAAGAAGCCATCAGCAGTGCCATTCAGCTTCTAGAAGACCCATTACAGAGGGTGAGGATCTTTAGGATCACTTCTCCTTAACAGACTTTGAAATGTTTTTAGGTTTCTTATTCCTTGTAGCCACTGGGCGGGCTTCCCTTGTGGCTCAGCTGATAAAAGAGTCCTCCTGTAATGCAGAAGACCTGGGTTCAGTCCCTCCGTTGGGAAGATCTCCTGGACGAGTGAAAGGCCACCCACTCCAGTATTCTGGCCTGGAGAATTCCGTGGACTGTATAGTCCATGGGGTCGCAGAGAGTCAAACACGAGTGAATTTCACTTCCTCCACTGGGAATATGCTCTCTTCTAAGAGCAAGAGAATATAAAGCAGAAAGGCAAAGTAGTGAGCATTTCCCTAGGTGTTTTTGATACACACACATTCTCTCTCAGGTCAGGGGTTTAAGATGGATAATAAGGTTGAGTCTTAAGGTTGTATGTTAACTTAGGTGTCTCTACATGAAGGCAAACTGATTTGATGGTTACCTCAAGTAATTGATACATACTCTTAAACAACCATCTTGATATTTTTAAACAAATTAATCGGTGTGAGTTTCTCAAACCAGTCATTTGGGGTTGTATATTTATGTAGTTTTAGTTAGGAAAAGTGCCCTGAAATAAATGAGCTAAGATTGAAAGGATATAAGGGTTTTGAATCAGGTAATAGATATGGTGAGTAGAGTCTGGAAAGAAAGGTCCAAAGAGGAGGTTAGTTTGTAAGTCATTGTATGCATTTAAAAGGGACCAAAGAGAAAAGAAGGAAAACTAGTGGGAATCTTGAGTCTAGTGTGGAGTAAGTTTCTAGTTCAGTTTCAGGGTGTGATGTTCAAGTAAAAGATTAGGTATATGGCTTTTTGGCCTTCCACAGGGAAAGGAGGAAAGCAGGTTAATTGTTATGGGACCCAGGAGAGGTAAATAAGTAGGGGTTAGAGAAACATGGGGAAATCCAGTGAACAGATGATGTAGGAGACAAAATTGTGATAGTAGGCTTGGGAAATAAAAAGATGGTGAATATTACTGTCCACAGTGGATGAGTTTGGAAAGAGAGAGGTAAATTTGGCGAGAGTTGGAGAAGAAGGTAGGCAGTGAGTGGGCTAATAAAGCAGAGAGATAGAAAATAAGGAGAAAGGGCTCTCGCTCGCTCGTTCTCTTTCTGCCGCCATCTTGGTTCCGCGTTCCCCGCACAAAATGCCTGGTGAAGCCACAGAAACCGTCCCTGCTACAGAGCAGGAGTTGCCACAGCCCCAGGCTGAGACAGGGTCTGGAACAGAATCTGATAGTGATGAATCAGTCCCAGAGCTTGAGGAGCAGGATTCTACACAGGCAACCAGACAGCAAGCTCAGCTGGCAGCAGCAGCTGAAATCGATGAAGAACCAGTCAGTAAAGCGAAACAGAGCCGGAGTGAAAAGAAGGCACGGAAGGCTATGTCCAAACTGGGCCTTCGACAGGTTACAGGGGTTACTAGAGTCACTATCCGGAAATCTAAGAATATCCTTTTTGTCATCACAAAACCAGATGTGTACAAGAGCCCAGCTTCAGATACCTACATTCTTTTTGGGGAAGCCAAGATTGAGGATTTATCTCAGCAAGCACAGTTAGCAGCTGCTGAGAAATTCAAAGTTCAAGGTGAAGCTGTCTCAAACATCCAAGAAAACACACAGACTCCAACTGTGCAAGAGGAGAGTGAAGAGGAAGAGGTTGATGAAACAAATGTGGAAGTTAAGGACATAGAATTGGTCATGTCACAAGCAAATGTGTCTAGAGCAAAGGCAGTCCGAGCCCTGAAGAACAACAGTAGTGATATTGTAAATGCTGTTATGGAATTAATGTAACCATCTGAAAAGAGGACCTTTTTTTGGTGTTTCAAAAGAGTAACTGCAGCTGGGTTTGAAATTTGTACTGTTTCTATCATTAATAAAGTTATGGCTTCTTGTTGGATGAAAAAGAAAAAAGAAAATAAGGAGAAAGATATGATAAGTTTGAACAGCAAAGGAAAGCTTGTGGCTCGGAAGCAAAAAAAATAAACCAGAAAGACAGTGAATGATATTTCATATATAATACATTATAGTTTTCAAAGTCTTTTCAAATATATTTAGCAATTTGTTGCCTTAGCCTGTGCTGAGCACCTAGTATGAACAAAGTCTTGTGCTAGATACAGTGAGAGAGATAAGATAGACACAATGAGCTGCTTACCAGATGCCTGCTCCACTCCCTTGTTCCCTTTTCTAGGAGTTCATTCAAAAGTGCCTGCAGTCTGAACCTGTTCGCAGACCAACAGCCAGAGAACTTCTGTTTCACCCAGCACTGTTCGAAGTGCCCTCACTCAAACTCCTTGCTGCCCACTGCATTGTGGGACACCAGCGTGAGTCCTCTTGACCCTCCTAGGAATTTTTTTCCAGTCTGGAGCCTTGTAACTCTCACTAGTATGTTCCCTTTCCTCTTCTACTTCCAAAAGGATTCTTTCCTACCCTCCCCCCAGACCCCTGTGCCCTCTATAATATCTGAACTTCCATAACTTCCCATTCTATCTTGCCCTCCAGACATGATCCCAGAGAATGCTCTGGAGGAGATCACCAAAAACATGGATACCAGTGCTGTACTGGCTGAAATCCCTGCAGGACCAGGAAGAGAACCAGTTCAGACTCTGTGAGTTACTAACTGAGAGGTTCTGAAAGGGACAGATTGGTCACTCCCATCTGGAGGTTTCTGTCAACTGTCCTTTCTCTAGGAGTGGTTGAACCTGCTGTTTTGCTTCTTTCCTTCCATCTTCTTTTTTTTTTTCCCCAGGTACTCTCAGTCTCCAGCTCTGGAACTGGATAAATTCCTTGAAGATGTCAGGTGAGAGAAGAATAAGAAAAAAAACTTCTTTAGGAGGTAGGGGTGGGTGTCTGAAGGCGTCCAGAGCCCATCTGACCTGTCTGATCTCCGTTTAGGAATGGGATCTACCCCCTGACAGCCTTTGGGCTGCCTCGGCCCCAGCAGCCGCAACAGGAGGAGGTGACATCACCTGTGGTGCCCCCCTCTGTCAAGACTCCAACACCTGAGCCGGCTGAGGTGGAGACCCGCAAGGTATGGTTATGTGGGAGTAGCAGAGAGGGACATATCAAATAAGGCTTTGTCCTGTAAAGACAGGAATGTGTGTCTGCTCCCTGGCACCCGTGTCCTGTGGGCTGGAAACCCCAGCTCTTGGGGGATTTTTGCTCACTGGTCTCTAATCTAATGACCCTTTCTGCCTCCTCTCCCTAGGTAGTGCTGATGCAGTGCAACATTGAGTCGGTGGAGGAGGGAGTCAAACACCATGTAAGGCTCAGAGCCCAGGGCTGTGTAGCACTGGGTGGCCAGAGGGTGGGGAAGGGGAGCCTCATTTTCTGACTGTCCTATTCTCCAGCTGACGCTTCTGCTGAAGCTGGAGGACAAACTGAACCGGCACCTGAGCTGTGACCTGATGCCAAGTGAGTCTCTCCTGTCCCTCAGAGGATGGAGAGTCTGTGAGCCTCACCTGTGAGGGACACCTTCAGGGGTGGGGAAGGTGACCTGGCAGCAACACGCGGACTCACTTAGAATGAGTATCTTCGCCTGTAGATCTGGAGGGTGGATCTGATTTGACAGTTTTACTTGTGTCCCAGCCAGGGTCAGCTGGCCGGGGCTGTTGGAAGGGCTCCCGTGCCCCTCACTCGTGCACTGTGCTCACCTTCTGTTTCTCTGTCAGATGAGAACATCCCGGAGCTGGCGGCTGAGCTGGTGCAGCTGGGCTTCATTAGTGAGGTGAGGCATCTGCCTTCCGCCGTCCGGGGTAGGGCGGCCCCTCCACTCTGTCGTCTCAGCCGGATCTCACTGGGCCCTTCCCTTCCAGGCTGACCAGAGCCGACTAACTTCTCTGCTGGAGGAGACCCTGAACAAGTTCAATTTCGCCAGGAACAGCACCCTCAACTCAGCCGCTGTCACCGTCTCCTCTTAGAGCCACTCGGCCCTGCCCGGCCCCTCCTCCGCGCTGTGGCCTCCGGAGAGGCTGTGGCTCCCGCCCCGCCCCCCAGTCAGTATTACCCCCGTGAAGCCCCGCTCTCCTCTGTTATTCAGGAGGGCTCTGGGCTCCCTGGTTCTGAGCATCACCCTCCCTAGCCCTTCCCTTCTCTTCCATCCCTCTGCACTTTGTTTACTTGTTTTGCACAGACGTGGGCCTGGGCCTTGGCCTTCTCAGCAGCCGCCTTCTAGTCGGGGGCTAGTAGCCGAAATGCCGCTCCCGCCCAGCCTGTGTGGAAGGAGGCGCACGGGCATGGGGAGCTGAGTTCTACCATCCCGCTGGGGCGGACGGGGCGGGAGAGAAGGGTGGTGCTGCAGGGGTGGCCCCGGGGGGCCATTCGATTCGCCTCAGTTGCTGCTGTAATAAAAGTCTACTTTTTGCTACGCGCGTAGTGTGTGTGTGTTGTGTGTCCCGCTGTCCGCCAGGGGGCGCGGAGGCCGGACCGCAGGTGTGCCAGACGGGCGGAGCCAGCCGGGGCGCGGGGGCGGAGCCGGGGCCGGCAGGTAAGAGCTTCCCCGCGGCGAGCGCCAACGGACCGGATGAAGTGCCGCCGCCTCTGCGCTTTCGGTAATTTCCGGGCCCCCGGTCTTGTTTATCCCCGAGGGCCCATCCTGGACCCGCCTTCGGGCCTGTAGCCGACCTGCGGCGCCCCTTGCGGGGCCTCCGGCTCCTCAGCCGGCTCAGCCTGCCCCTCGCCCGTGCCTTGCAGACGCTGCCCGGGGCCCCCGGCGGCTCATGCGGGTGGGCCTGGCGCTGATCCTGGTGGGCCACGTGAACCTGCTGCTGGGGGCCGTGCTGCACGGCACCGTCCTGCGGCACGTGGCCAACCCCCGCGGCGCCGTCACCCCGGAGTACACCACCGCCAATGTCATCTCCGTGGGCTCAGGGCTGCTGGTGAGCGCGGCAGGGCAGGGCGGGGCGAGCCGGGGCCGGGCTCGGGCTGGGCCGCGGGCGGTGGGGGCCGCCTAGCAGCGCGGGCCTCAGGTTTCGTTTCTTCCAGAGCGTTTCTTTGGGACTTGTGGCCCTTTTGGCGTCCAGGAATCTCTTTCGCCCACGATTGGTGAGATTTCTGGAGCTTTGAGGAGGAGGCCTGGTGGCAGGGAAGCGGGGAGGGGTGGTGGGGTGGGGGGGCTGATTCAGCTTCGTCTTTAGTGGGAGAGGGAGCCCCAAATAAGAGTAACCGAGGTGTCTGGTCAGTGGGCGAGGCAGCCGCCCCCCAGGCTGCTCACCCTGACCTCCTGCCCCTGCCAGCACTGGGCCCTGCTGGCCTTAGCGTTGGTGAACCTTCTGTTGTCTGCTGCCTGCTCCCTGGGCCTCCTCCTCGCTGTGTCCCTCACTGTGGCCAATGGCGGCCGCCGTCTTATTGCCGACTGCCACCCAGGACTGCTGGATCCTTTGGTACCGCTGGACCAGGGGTCTGGACATGCTGACTGCCCCTTTGACCCCACAAAAATCTATGTGAGTCCAGTTTTCTCCCCAGCCTTTTTGCAGTCCACAGAGCCTGGGTCCTGCCCTTTAATAGTCCGCATTTGCCACCCCCGCCCTTCCTTCACCTTTTAGGACACAGCCTTGGCTCTCTGGATCCCTTCTGTGTTCATGTCTGCAGCCGAGGCTGCTCTCTCTGCTTACTGCTGTGTGGCTGCGCTCACCCTGCGTGGGGTAGGGCCCTGTAGGAAGGATGGGCTGCAGGAGCAGGTAAGGAAGATGAACAGCAAGGGTTCATTCAACACAGATTGTGTGGAAGAGACTGGATGATACAGCTGAGGGCTGAAGCACTAACCCTGCCCTCTTCTGTAGCTGGAGGAGCTGACAGAGCTTGAATTTCCTAAACGTAAATGGCAGGAAAATGTGCAGCTACTGGACCAAACGCAAGAAATCCGGACCTCACAGAAAAGTTGGGTTTAGGGCCAGGTAATGGGCCAGGAGGACTGTGGCCTGGGAAAGGGCAGCGGTAGGGAGCACGCCCTTTTGGGTTGAGTCCTTTGCTATGCTGCTGGCCCTCTGACCAGGCTCTCCCTTCTGTCAAGCAGGTGCAGGTCCGAAGGCTCTGTCCACAAGGGTTTTCCACTGACCCCTAGGATGTTTATATAGTAACAACTGTAATAAAAGGATGTCTCTTCAACTTGATTATGTTTCCTTTTGGGGGAAAGGGGTGCTGGGCTAGTGTTGGGGGTGACCTTGTTCAAAGAATACAGTGGTCTCGGTTACTTACAAGACTTTAATGAAGGATGGAACCTACTGACTCTCCTAGTTACTGGAAAGAGAAGCTGGTGCTGGGCAGCCCCCCACACCACTGACTGATGAACTTCAGCACGTCTTGGCACAGAGGGCTGTGGGAGGTCTGTGAGCAAACAAGAGCACAAGAGGGACTCAGCAGTACTGGGAAGAACATTCCCGATATAAGGAAAACCAGCTCCATCTCAGTGTGGGGAGCAGGCTGTGGGGCCTGCACCTGCCTTCTTGACAGTCCACCCCCCTCCCAACACCACCCCAGTGGTTGGGGTGTGTGGTCTTCAATGTTGTTCTCCCTGCCCTCTTCCTTCAAGCCTTCCTCTCTAACCTTGATAGCCATAAGGAACTTGTTCCAGTTCTTCTTGTTAGCTGCCTTCCCTGGCCGCTTAAATTCAATTTTGTTCCTCAGAATGGGGTATCCTGGGGGTTGAAGGGAGAGAAAAAGATGAATTAGAGTATGAGAGGGATTGAGAGGGAATAACAAAGAGCAAAGTGAGGGATAGAAAGTAGGATGTTTTTGTCTTCTGCATCCTTTACTGATCACAGTAAAACAGCCTCTTGATCCTGCTGTTTCCCTCTCCTTTCCACCCAGCACAGAATATGGTACTCTAGCATTCTGTACCTGTAATGAGGCAGGGCAGGGCCCGAACCCCAGTACTGGCTGCCACCAGGGAAGCCTCGTAGGCCCCACGCTCATCCCGAGGTAGAACCTGCTCCAGCCGCTGGTCCATTGAGACCGTGAGCACCCAGTCTCGAACCTCTTCTCGCTGAGCCTCCTGGGAAGGACAGAGCAGCTTCATGCAGGGCAGGGGAAGTGGAGGGTGGTTAGGAGGGGGTTTGCTAAGCTGTCATCCCATGTACCATCTTTCACCCACAAATGAAACTCCTTGCGCTGGCAGCCAGTTGCAGCCTTAGCTTTTTCCTCTGGTGCTACTTTCACTGAAGGAATAGTGAGGGCTGGGGCCCTTCCAAAGACATTGCTGACTGATGCTATTAGACTGTTGGGAGGACCATCCTTAAGAGTGTCCTCCCTTCCAGTGAGGACTCCTGCTCGTGAGGCCTCCTGTTTCTGTGCCCTTACCGGGACGTGCTGCTTGGCTGGGAGTGGCACCTCAAAGGGAATGTCTGTGTCCTGAAAGTCAGAGTGGTCAAGGGCGTCCAGGGTCCCTTCTTCAATTGCCTATGGCAGAGCAGGCAGCCATGAGATGGGCACAGCTTGTGACAGGCCAAACCTTGCAACTTCTGGGCACAACTGCCCTACTCACATCAGTCAGATCCAAAAAGCGGTTGAGGAAGATGAAGGCCATGTTCTCCCAGCCAACTGCCTGCAACAGAGAAATGTTGCCAGTAGGAGTGAGCAGCTGGCCTTGGCTGTTGTTTTTCTAGGATGCAGGGGGCAGAATCCAGGAAGATGGAGGAAAATGGTATCCTCCATGACATCAGGCCCACACTCAGCTCTGCTCTAACTTGAGCAGCTGGGACAGTCTACCTTCCAACTTTTACTTCCTTCTGTCCTCAGCCCCACCCTTGGTTGGCCCCATTGCTCACCTTGGCAGCAATGCCTGCTTCATAGAAGGCCTTATCTGCAGGTAGTAGTTGGGTGTGACGCAAGAGTGAAACAGAAAGCCTGGCAGCTACAGTTTCCTGTGAATTAAAGTCAAAGCATTATGATTCTGGCACTGTAGTGACTGAGCTACCAGACCAATGATCTTATAACTAAAGCAGCCATGGAACCAGAAGATCAACGATCAATATTAAATTGCTCTGGGTCATGCTCTGAGTTTTTTTCATCTGCACAAGAGAACTGGGCCTGGGTTATTTCCTCCCACCTCTAGAATTCCATCATCCAACTACAGTAACTCAATATAGTATCATGAATAAGCTAAAAGTATGTATCTATTATAAGAGGTCAACGCAGAAATCATGGAATTGGAATGTTTGAGCATAACGAGGTTGGAGCTGTGTGGGCACAGAGCCCTAAGACGGTCAAAGGGATACAGAAAGGAAACCATCTCAGCAAGGGCTAAAGATTTCTTTAAATGGAAGAGAGACTAGGAGAGAAGTGGGCCAAGCTTGAGACTATCCTGAACTTGCATTCATTCAGCTTCACCCATTTGAAGCTGAGTGCCCCTCCCTGCTCCATCTCACCAGCTCTTTGACACTCTGGGCTGCAGAGCGGGTGGCGTAGTAATGAGCAATCAACAGCATGGTCTCAAACTCCTCATGGGCTGGAGAGTTGGCCTCACTGGACTTCACCAGGTTTTCACACTAGAGCGGGAAGAGTACACAGCCTGGGTCGGGTATCAGAGGAGTGCCAGGGACAGAGTGGTCAATAGTCAGCCATCTGGACAGAGGAAGGTAGAGCCCGAGGATGGGTCAGAGGAGTGCCAGAGTGATCAATGGACAGTTGCCCAGAGGAAGGCAGAGCTCGAGGGTGAAGGATTCTGGGTGTGAAAGGAGAGATGAGGGCAGGGCCAGGCAGACCGAGCAGCCTTCCCGCTCTGCTATCCACCCAGCTTCCTCACCAGGTTGAAGAGGACGTCCCGGAGGTCAGCCCAGTTGTGATAGGCCTCAGCACTGTTGGTCCCAGGAGAGCTCACCATGTCAGTGAAGATCCTTTTGTAGATGTTGAAGTTCTGGAGGTGGAGGGGGAAGGGGAGCTGAGCGAGAGGAATACAACTACAAGAGAAAGTCAGGGGAAGTGGGGCCAAAGAGGAAAACTGGGCTGGAAATGGCATGTGGAGGAGCTATGGGACACTGCTGGAGAAAGTGCTGTTTTTCAGGGAAGAGAAAGGAGGGTAAGAAAACACCCATTTCTTCCTAACTGGTGCTCTGTGGGTGTGGGAAGATGTGTGACTGTGAATGCACAGTCACAGTGTTAACGGCATAACACCCGGAGAGCTGTGATGCTCAGACAGGAGAGGAGTGTTCACACTCTGGAGGAAGTTAGTCAGGCCCTCGAGGTGTGCAGGGCTCTTCTCTGAAAGACTGTTCCTTGTGTTAGCCTTCAGAGGGTAAATCCTCCAGAGAGGCTGTACAATTCAGAAGAGCCTAGGCAGAGTCTCTGGGCACAATGCTTTCTAACTAAGGAATCCTTTGAGAAGACAGATCCTGAGTGGGGTGAGCAGTTGTCGAGGAGAAGGTAAGAATTTCTTTGGGGAAACATTCACCCTGAGGAGCAGGCTGGTACCTGTGGGTTAGCAGGGGCTCCATGCTGCACGTACAGGGCCAGTGCCTGGGCATAGCCACCCTCCCGGATCAGGTGAGTTGCATATAATGCCACGTATTTGTGCAGAATCTTGTAGTTCTGTTTGAGGGGTGTAGGAAAAGCAGGGGGAGGTTGGGGTCAAACCAGGCTGTGAGGGTGGGGTCATGACTTGAGGCCACGGATTTGTTTAGGAAGCGAAGGGCATGTGCATGCCAGGCCCAGCTAGGGCCCTCTGACCCGATGTCAGAGCGTGAAGACTGAGCTCTCAGATGCTGATTAGGGATCTTTGGGGTTTGGGCTTTGGAGGGAGAGAGACACTCTCTGGGACAGGTGGGGAGTCAGAGGAAATACCCAGAGGGGCTGGCGTGGGAGGAAGGGACCAGTACCTGCTTGGTGGCTGTTTCAATGCACTTGTCCCACTGGCCCTGCTCCACATAGAGGTCCAAAGCAGCCACCACGTCCACACCCACTAGCTATGGTCCAGTTAAAAAGACAGAGTTACACAAGGGAAGAAGAGGGAAAGAGTCTCTGAGCCTCCCTGTGCTCGCCTCCTGCTGCCTATGCCAGTCTCACCGAGTCCACTTTGCCCTGGCTCTTGAGGAACTCTTTATAACACTGGTCCACATAGTCTTCATACCTGTGAAGGCACACAGAAAGCTCGCACATTAAAGCCCCAAAGCACACCCTTCCCATGAGAACTTCCTCCCAGCCTTTACAAAAGGAAGTAAAAGAATTTCTAGTGAGAAGGGGTCATGAGCTTACCGGGGATCTAGCTCCTTAGCGACACGCTTGGCCTTGTTCCATTCCTCACCCTCAATGAAAGCATCGATCGCTTCCTTGACAAGGTCCAGGTTCAGATAGAGCTCTGCAGCCTGCACAGGGGAAAATCTGAGATTGGAGATGTCTCTCTCCCCTTCTTCCCACTTCTCCCTCCTGGGAACTCTCTGGGAACTCTGGGGAAACAAATGCATGCCAAGCCTGCCAGGAGACCCCCCCCCCCCCACCTCCGACTTCACACGGCTTCTACCCACCTCTGTGGAATCTATTTCTGCTCAGTCTCAGCACCCTACTTACTGCACTGTGCTTTCCAATTCCAATCAGCTGGGGTCCCACAGCCCGAACTACTTCCAGACTGCGTGGGGGAGGTAGAAACTTGATGGAGAGTTCAGCTGCCTGAGTGGTTGAACAGAAGATAGAAGTGGGCAGAGAGACAAATACTGCCCAGGGGTCCTTGACCTGCTCTATTTTTACCTCCAGATGCCAACTTTCTTGCCTTCTCCCTCACCTTCCACCCTGTGGGGCAAATCCTGCCTCATGGTCCATCAGAGCTTTTACATGACCATCAGAGGACCTAACTGTTCCTCTCAGCTCTTCCTCTTTCAGACACTCACTGCTGCCTGAGAGCACTGCATTTGGTTCTGTCACCTTTGACAAACTGGTTTCTCAAGGTCTTTGTCACAAACAGAACCCTGGTAGCATGGTGCAGAGAAAAAACCCCTAAAGCAGAAGCCCAGGACATTCTGCAACTATTTGTGTTGGGCATTTCTGAGTTTCAGTTTCTTCACCCATCAGAGTGATGGTTGGTCTAGATTCATACTGTCCAGAACAGCAGCCAGAGTCACATGTGGCTAGTCCTGAGATGTGCTCTAACCTTATATATTTCAAAGACTTAGTATGAAAAA